GTGTTGTCTGACAAATTGCAACCGTGCTGCGATGTGTGGAGGTTGTAGTTTTGATGTTTTGTTTTAGCAACTAGCCTTGAAGATAACCATCCTTATATAGTCTTGATTTTATGGTGCTCAAAGTCAATCTTTTCCCAGTGAGTTGGTTAAAGTTGACACGCAAGTCATGGATTGTGTGAAACAGATTTACTAAACTTGATTGGATGAGTAACCGTTCTTTGCGTTCTGATGTATGGCATGGTAGAGCTAGTCGATGACTCTTCCCCATACTACCTCGTAGTTGAAGTTTCAGCAGAGTGAAATGTATGGAGCCTTCTTGGGATTGCCATGTTAGAAACTCACTCTGTGTGCAGTGCTTCGATGTTCCCTTTGGTAAATTCTGATAATTCTCTAACTTTCAACATAAATTATATGGCAAATGACTGTGTAATCTGCAGTACATATGAATTAATAATAAGGTTATCATGAGAATACTGCAAAGGACATACTGAGGCAGTATGGAAACACATTGACTTTCGCTATGCATCAATTGATACAATAACCGTGCTGCCTGAGTGCTCTCTTTGCAGAATTTTCTAAAATATAATTCATTTTTGTGAGATTAATAATTAAAAATTTAACATATTGAAACCATACCTATCTTGCAGTAAATATTCAATGAAATTTTACAAAAAAACTGTCACTCTGTCTTACGGAATGCTACAATATTTTTCCAACTAATGAAATAAAGTGATCTTTGGTGTTTTGCATTCATTTTACACATGCAAATTAGGTAATTTGCATAATTTGACGTTATATTTCATATGTTGATAGGATACGGCTGAATTGTTTTTTGAAGATGTGCGTTTACCAGCAAGTGCTGTTCTAGGACAAGCCAATAAAGGATTCTATATGCTGATGAATGAATTACCAAGGGAGAGACTCTTGATCAGTGTCATGGGTCAAGCTGCTTGTGAATTTATGTTTGAAGAAACCAGGAGCTATGTAAGACAAAGAAAGGCATTCGGCAAAACGTTATCACATCTTCAGGTAAGATCAGTTGTTTTTGTTTCTTTCTCAAGATTCATGAAAAAATGTTTTATTTATTTGTTATTACCGTACTAGACCACTTTTGCAAAATTTTTATATTCGGGGTCACATTCAGCAAAGCGCCCACCCCTTCAAAATGCCACTTATTTAAAACTTGGTCTTTGATCATTGTTTACCGAAAACTGGTAATCGTTTTTATATGATACTGTGTGGATATCAACCACCTAAATATGTTGTGAATGCGTAGACCATGGTAACCCCTTCGACAATGACCTGTTAATTAAAGTAAAATGCTTTAAATATTTCATGCCATATTCAGTTTACCTATCAAAAATTGCTATTTACCAGTTCTTTGAAAAAACAATGTCGAAATCAATTCCAACAGATCGTACTTCGACATCAAATGATCCAACACATTCGTCAGTAGAGATAATGATGAAGATTTTGACATGATTTTCTGAGTTGAGGACCCTGGGTGCTAATGCGGTTGAGTACGGTAATTCCCCATGGACTCGAATATTGTATTCTGATTTCAACAACTTCTACAATATTCCTAGAACCAGATGCCAGTTATTAATTCAGCATATACTCAAATATTGTGTTCACCAATATGCCTTGAACTGATGGCAGTTATTAATTCACCATAGACACAGATAATCGTGTACATCAATATGCATAGAAGTGAAGCTCATTTTTAATTCACCATAGACTAGAATATTGTGTTCCGATGGCTGAGACCTATACAATAGCTTAAAATGTAGAACCGAAGTCAACCTTGTTTGCCATTCAGACTACAGAATAAAACCACATACTTGGGCAGGCTTCATCAACTGAACTATGGGAAGTAAATTAATTCATTTGCCAGATTAAATAGTGAATTTCCCATACTCATGTGATCTTCAGCTGATTAACAATGCTAGATTTTCAATCAAACAAAGTTAATTGTGATGGTATACATGTGATATAGAGTGCCTTGATAGATGTATAGATTCCATTGTACACAGAATACGTATAAATTCAGGTATATGTGTCGTCTATGAATAGCAATACGTTGTATATGCTGCATATATTTTCCTTTGCCTCCAGTATAACTTAATGTAATAAATTAATAATAATTTTATTGAATCCCTGGAAATACAATTTTTCTATCAGTTACATGTGTATCAGGAGCACCAACATGTAAAATCAGGGAAAGTAAGGGGTGGACCACAACCAGAAAAGATAAAAAAATCTCATTGTGTCTCGAATAATTATCCAAATGACAAATGTGCCAGATTAGGAAGAATATTACGTTGTTTTGGAGAATATAAAATTATGGAATGAGTTGCGTTATTGATTTCCACAACACTTTTATGTGAAGAAACAAAAATTTTCACAAAAAATATATAATATACAATATTATCTACAACTCATCTGATATTATGGCGTAAAAATTATTCTTCATTGATTACTGCTTTTGCAATGAATAAACAGAAATGATCAACAAAATGCAGTTAATATTTATTACATATCACCAGAATTTACAATGTTAACAAACTATTGGGGTCTGTGGGAACACAGAAATCTTTATCATTATCTTCATTGTCAAATGTAGTTGATCGTATGCAAACTCTTGATGCAAAGCAATTTCTGCCATATTGTTATCTTGCATGATTTGACCTGCAACAACGTCCTTTGACCTAATAGGTCAAATCTGTAATTAACCAATTAGAATGCTGTGTTCTATTGACACAATTTCTGATAATTCCCAAAGCTATTCTGGTAATGCAAGCGGAAGCGGATAAATTACCAATGTCGAAATAGGAAAAAGTGGCATGATTTTTAGCCCCCGCCGGATCTGCGATCCGGGCGGGGGTATTAATTTGGGTTGTGTCTGTGCAATGTGCGTGCACATTTTTATGTTACCAGCTTTTTCTCACACATGTGTGATCCAATTAAGTTCAGAGTTGGTACAGAGACAGAAATTGATGGTGCTATGGTGCACATCAAGTTATTTTTTCGATTCTTCAAAGTTTCACTGTGTTTTTCCTTGATTTTTAACATTTTCCTTCA